GTGGCAACACACATCAAAGCTCGACATGTCTAACCTTTTTGAATAGAGAAACAGAGAGAACGAAAGAAAGAATAAGTGCGAGAGAAAGGAGAGCTGGTGGTGATGTCATCTTTCATCTTGCCAGTGTTGCCACCCGTGATGTCTGTGGAAAGCTGCCATTACGTGTGTCATCTGATTATTGTACAAAAGTGCACTCGGTGTGGAAAAGAAAGCGATGGCTAGTGCAACAGTGAGAAAGATAGATAGACGAGGGTGCGCTAACTAAAAGCAACCTAAGAATGTTACATAAGATATGATGTCTCAGCTCCCTTCATTCTTCCCACTGCTTCTGATCTTCAAACCAGGTGCTAGAATGACATGACAGGAGCTGCCAGTGGGGGAGTGGGGGTTAGATCAAAAGGGCAAACCTACTGAGTGACAGTGGTGTGCACGTAATTAGGTCAAACCACAAATGCATTGGATATGAATCCATATAAGCCGCTAATGACGAGCTTGCTTTACAATTCAGCCCTACTGCTGCTGTCTTGTTAAAATTTCACAAATCTTGTTTTGTCCTTATTTGATTGCAAGTTTTACAGAGTTCTTACTCTCTTGGATCACACAACTTTAAACATATTCTTTTCAAATGTACTTCTAAGCCAGAGAGAAAGTTTAGCCAATTTGTCATATTTCCTGAAAAGAAGTGGTGCGAGATATTCATGTGATGTTGCAAGCGGCATCGCTAGCATCGCCTTTTATTAATAAGGGATAACTGCTGTGTTCATTTCCACAGTTGTATGATTGAACTCTGCTAGCAACATTTACACATGTAAAAAAAATATGCTTATTTATTTTGAGCCTTGGTGAAGCTGTTTTAATTCCTCTTCGCCACCCTCCCTTCAAGTCACCCTTTCATTTGATCAGCTGCCCCTCACAAACAGAGGTAGGAAAGTGATGTGCTTACGCTCAGAGCTGTGGTTACAAATGACCCTAATAAGGATATCAGCTCTGACTGATATGATACAGAGCCACAAGTAGCTGAAACCAAACATTTAGAGCAATCTGATGCCTGAGGTTTCAGCTCAAAGGGATTAATTGGACTTATGCTTACCTCATTATCTGGAAATCTGGCCGTGCTGAACATCTAACAGTGTAATGTGACATATATATATATATATATATATATA